GCGGCGTGAGGGCCGCGAGGTAGGCACCGGGGCCGCTAGGGCGGCTCGACTGGGTGGAGGAAGGGGAGCGCGACTCGGGCTAGGGTTGAGCGCGCTCCGGGCAGGAGAAAAAAATAATTTCGACTTGGTGGGCCCTAGGAACAGTTCCCACGAGGGAACCTGCTCGATACCATGAGAAAACTGAAACGAGAATGAAATGACTAAGTGAAAGTTGGGTACAAGTACAAACCCTAGAAAAGTTGTACCCCATATGTGCTACCCCACTATAGCCTACAACAGCTATGTCATATAAATCTGACAGTTTGCTATATGTATCCTCATTGCTGCTAGTGAAAGCCCTCTTTTGCTTAAACTTCTCTTGCCTAGCTCGGGCTTACCTAGCTATGGCTCCTAACTCTGCCTACTATCTTAACAAGAGGCGACAGCTGTTTTTCGCCACTGCCCGGAAGTTTTCGGTGAGTCACGACAACATCGCCGAGGTGGTTGACGTCATCGACAGTTCAAGTTCAACTTTGAAAAAAAATTTGCAAGGTCAGGTGGAATAGCAGCAGCTGTTTTTCGCCTCTGCCTGGTACTTTTCGGAGAATATCGACAAAAGCCTCGGCGAGTCTGGACAAGACTGGTGGGGGCGCCGACAGCTGGAGAAGCTACAGTGAAAATTTTCGACACTGCAACAAGACAAACGGCAGCAATTTCGGGACTGCAGCAGCTGACAACTGAAGATACTGCGGCAGCAGGGTGATTCGGTGCTGCCACGCGGAGATTTTTGGGTGGCAGTCTTTTCCAAAAGGGGGGAGAAAGTACTCTCGCACTGTACTTGTCAGTTTTTTCTGACATTTTGTCTGACAGATTCAGCACGACGGACGCTCGCGATCACATCAACGACATCGACGGGTCCTGCTTCATCGAATTCTGACAACACGTCAGCGTATCCGCCCACGACGTGTTCATCTTGACCGTCTGACAAAGATCCACCACATCGACGATTCTCATTCATCAACGGCTTTTCAACTTGACATTCGAATTCAACCGCCCGATCGTTATCGGCGGTATCAACGGCTGACATTCCAACTCTTTGAATTTCGCCTGGTCAACGCATTCAGCCACGCGTCAATTTGACAGTCAACGACTTCTACACCGTCAGATCAGTTTTCAACCGAGATCTGCAGTTTTCACGCTACTGCAAGACTCGGCTCCGTATAAGGGCACCTTATTTAGAAGGTGGGAGAGTGTAATGAATATACATCCATTAATGTAGAAGCTCCTCCTAGCGAGGACAGCCCGAGCACTTCGCGTCAGGATGGCTCGGCCTATAATTCCGCAACGAACCAATTCCGAGTCGCCCCGCACCAGTCGCGACACTTCCAACGCATCCACGTCCCGAGGTCCTCGCCTAGCACTGTTTCGACCCTATAAATGCGTGCTCCTTTATCATTCTTGATCATTCAGTAATTCTGTAATTCATTCTCTTTATAGAAGTCTTCCGAGTGAAAATTTAGAAGGAAGAAGAGGAGTTTGACTAGCAACAGTTGGGATACATATAGCAAACCCTAACAGGGTTGTACTCGCTATTGAGCACCCCACTACAGGCTAGATAAGAACATTCTGACATACCCCCATAGCCAAAGTGGGGTGTAATCAGCAGAGCAAGCAGGCATAGAACAAGCTCAGGGTGGATCACAATGTCACCACACATTCTGAGCACAAGTACAAGAAGCAACAGTTTAAAAGTGCACAATTATGAGCAAAGCTAGAGCTAATCACAGCGGACAAGTGAGGAGGAGGAGGAGCTATGGGGGAGAGAAGATGGGAGGCGACTGCTGACGCCGCAGACAAACAGACGAGCTGCTGGCTCAGTGGCTACCGGAACAGCGCTGCGGACTACTGGAGTAACTGGCCCCGCGGCTAAAAGTAGCGGCAGACGAGCAACGGACCCACGGGCGACTGGCGACTACCGGAGATTGTAGCCTCCGGAATGCTGCTGCTGCTGACGACAAGACTGCTGCCTCCACTCAAACTCCCCCAACTGCCCCACACTCTCGACACACACCCGCTGCTACACCCCTAGCTCCACTCCCCCTTCAACCCCCCCCCCAAGTACCACTCCACCGGCTCCAACAAGTCCACCCCCCCTCAGCGGCAGCTGCAGCACAGGGAGACGGAGGAGGAGGAGGAGCAGGGAATGGCACATAGTGGCTTCACCCCCATACCCCTCACCCCCAAACCCTAATTCAGGAGAATGGGGAGTAGGAGGGGTGGGGCGCTAGTAGAAGCACTGGGGGACAGCGGGGAGGGCAGGGGCAGTAAGGAACGGGCCCACCACGGGCCTAGTACAGTCGCCCGAGCCGCGCGTAGGCAGCCCGAGCCGCGCACGGGCCTGGCGCCGCCCGTAAAGGCCGCGCGCGGGCCTGGCGCCGCCCGTACGGGCCGCGCGCGGGCCTGGCGCAGCCCGTACGGGCCGCGCGCGGGCCTGGCGCAGCCCGTACGGGCCGTGCACTGCCACGACGGGCGACGGGGGGCGACGCGCGGGTCCCCGTCGCCCGTCGCGGCGCCTCCCTAGGGCGACGCGCCGAATGACGGGGCAGAAGCCCGCCGCACGCCTCGGGGCACACAGCGGGCAGAGAACCGCCGCGCGCCTCGGGGCGCACGGCGGGCAGAAAACCGCCGCGCACCTCGAGGCGCACGGCGGGAAGAAAAAACTGCCGCACGCCACGGGGCGTGCGGCACAGAGAGTAGGAGCAGGAGTTGCAGCGGAAGCAACGAGGTGGTAAGCCCACCCACTTGATCGATCCAAGGGGATCGACCTGCTCTGATAGCATGTGAAAATTTAGAAGGAAGAAGAGGAGTTTGACTAGCAGCAGTTGGGATACATATAGCAAACCCTAACAGGGTTGTACTCGCTATAGAGCACCCCACTACAGGCTAGATAAGAACATTCTGACATTCCGCGCACTCTGTCTAGTAAAACTCATAACATTTATGATTGCCCTCAAACGTGGAAGAGATGGCGTAGCGAGGGGCGGAAGATCTGATGGGTACCATCGAGCCACGTGGCAGTCCTGATCTTGATATCCAGGAGTTAATTTCAGTCGGTGCCCATTTCAAGAACACAAGGTAGGCGGGTGGCATATGCGTGAAACGTGTTTGAGGCATTTCGTCACATCTGCCCTTGTCGCCACGGGCAAAAATGTGACAGTAATATAAAATTGCGACGTGAATCGAGTCAAGGGTTTCAATTTCGTAACCAGGTTAACTTATCTGATGTTGTTGTTTATGTACTGTAGATGTTTTTCTTCTTCAACTTGGTGACTGTACCCTGAAATCAGCACGATGGTCAATTTAGTCACTCACGGGCAAAACGTTCGCGAGTGACTAAATTTTTAATTGTGTGGAGCAAATGTTTTGTGATAGGCTGAGCATCGACTGTACCCTTGTTTTATTTGCTTGAAAGGCGTTGGCAAACAGGGCCCAAAATATCAGGGTAAAACACCTTGATTACCCTGGGGGCTGGCCGCTTTTTCAGGAGTACCCTGCTGAAATCAGGATTGCGAAATACTCACCCTTCTCTTAAAAGAGCATGTTTTATTTTATCCTGCTAGGTTTTTAGCTTACCCTGGCGGAATCAGGGTTTGGTGTACACTACCCTGTTACCGAATCTTTTCTAACGCGAATCAGACCATAGTCCGCGTGGTGACAAAACGTACAACACCTCCACAAACACCCGTTGTCGCTCGTGCCCACGCGCATGGAAACTTGCATCGCAGTTGGCAGCACGCCAAGAATCCTCCTTGGTTGTTTCTGCCGCAGGACTGCCAACAATTACTCCTCGCCACGCCCACCGCCATCACAGCAGAATTGGCTGTCAAGGACAGCGTCAAGCTGACAGCCTCAGTTGCAGCCTCAGTTGCAGCCTCAGTTGCAGCCTTAGTCGGCACACTGGAATTCCGACGGATTTCTCGGTTTTCGTTGTCAAGTTACACGCATGTGAAGTTGCTACACATGTTCTGGCTTAGAGGCCTTTCCTAAAAGAGTTCCATTTCCTCAACGAGTAGATGTTTCACATAAGTCCTAGGCGTATCCCCTCCTCTACAGTCCCATTTTTGGCGGTAAATCTTGCATCTTGACTGAATCATTGCACGAATCAGTTCTGCAGCCAATCAGAGGACGCAAATCGAGCCTGTCAGAACATTTAGAGAAAATAAAACAAAAGGAAGTTTTGATTCTCTATTTACTGTTTGCAGTTGTGTTTGTCTGTTTATCTTGACCGCTCTTGTGTCGAAATCCTGTTGCGCGGTTCCCCGCGAGTTCGACGATGCCATCTCATTAATCTCGCTTACAGTGTAAAACAAAAATGTTGACTGTCATTTCGGCCTTCAAAATAATTTATTTTGTATTTTTCTGCCTGTTTGTCCTGCGACACTGATCAACGCGGCGAACCGTGCGACGAGAAGTTGAAGACAGCGTAGTCCGAATGTACGTATGTGACAGAAAAACACGAATAGTAGCGAAGGAAAATCTCTCTTCATGCAATTACTCTTATATGGGACTATAAGTTCCCTTTTGCCCGGGGTTTGTGAGTTTTCCACAAAGGCCCGCAGCGCGCGTGTTTTTCACGTGGACTCTAATTGAGAACATCTGTACTCTCGTGTGGTTTGGGATTCTGTGGTCTTTCTGAAGTCGTAAGTGACACGATAAGTTCCACCATGCACACGATGCTCAGTCGAATCGCATTCATTGGCTCATCTCAAACGCGACGGCGTCCCTACAGTATCATGTTTGCAACCGCATGTCACGATTCGAAAGAATCGGAAATTTGACGAGTGGTTGAGAATTTCCGACTCCGAGTCGCGATGCCGTCCCTGCGCGTCATTTCGTACGTTAACTATATACTATAACAATACCCCAATCCAGTAGAACACCTCTATCCAGCTGACCAGCCCAACCAGAAACTTTGGATTCCGCCTTCATCCCCTCGCTATTCTGTGCCGAACATCGCCATCATGGGGATTGATTTCGTGTCGTCCGCACCTGCGCCATCGCCGGAATTCGATACGTCTGCGAGCTCCCACGCTCGCGACATTTCGCTACACGCGTCAACTCCGGAGGGGGCAGTGGACGCCGCGAATTGCGCGCAGTCGAAGCGATCAAAGTTCCTCGCGTTTGAAGCGCCAAAGCGCATTTCGGAGATGTTGGAGGTGGGCAAGCTGCTGACCGACGACCCCATCGGTGAGCTTCACTTCAGTTCTCGGGACGCGTGTGCACGGCGTCCGGGATCACGGACGAAGGCGATGATTGCGGGGATACATACCAAGGCAGCTCAATCATGTCCTCGCCGCGTGCCTGCGCATCTGCGTTTTTTTTTCTCTCCATCAACCGCATGCTAAGCGGCGCCGCGCGCCATACTATTAATGAATTTCCATTGCTTTGGTACATATTTCAGCGGAGTCCGCTGACGTAGCTGATTGCGCGTCCATCCTCGCCTTTCGATCCTCCCGCATGCCTCGAATCGCCGCTGTGCACCCTCCGCCGGAGTGATGCGGCGCATTCCTCTAGGAGCGCTAACCCTTTTCATTATCTTCACCCCACCCCACGCCCGGGCGCCAGGCGGGTGGGAAAAGGCGTGGAAAACGTGCACGACGCCGTGGCTCCTGGGTGGCGTGATGCCGGCTTTGGCGGCGCTCGTGGCAGCACCAGAGGGATCGCCGCTTCACTTGCCGCCCTCCATCCGCCGCGTGCTCGTCCCCGGCTGTGGCAATGTGAGTGCCTGCCCGCCAGGCGGCAGCACGGAATGCACGGTGGGTGTTTTCTGGTGAAGGGGGGAGGTGGGCCAAAGACATGCACGATGATTGCCAATCATGGGTCGTGTATGATTCGGAATCCTCCCCGTGCCCCACATCACTGCATTTCCTGACGTTTGGTCCATGGCATGTCATGGCATGGCATGGATGGTATGGCATGTCATGGCAATGGCATGGCATCATGGCAGGGCTACGACGTGGAGGCATTGGCATCGGGTGGCAGGGAGGCGACGGGTCTTGACATCTCTGCATCCGCTGTGGCGCATGCAGAGAAGGTGGGCGCGAGAGGCATGGGTGCGGCACGAGCGCACGCCCCTCATGTTGCGTCATGAGTGCACTCGCAGAGGCGCACGGGCAACGTCCCTGCTGCCAGCACTACAACCATTCACCCTTACCTTGATTCGCCAATCCTTTGCTTGACGTCTCTGCCCTCACACTCCATGCTCAACCCCGTGCTCCCGTCTCCACGCTCTAAACCCTCTCCCCCGCTCTTCACCCAGCGGGTGGAGGGGGCGGGCAACAGGGCGGCCATGGCGTTTGAGTGTGCCGACTTCTTTGAGTACCGCCCCGCACAGCCCTTCGACGCGATCTTTGACCTCACGTGAGCCCCGCCCCTCTGCCTCTCACCCCCCTCGCCCCTCTGCTTCTCACACCCCTCACTTGCCAAGCTGCTGCGTTCCCTCCGCTGCTGTGCTCCTTTCCCATGTCGTATGCCCAGCATCTCATTTCCTTTTATATCTCATTTCCTTTTACATACATTTCTGGAAATACATACAATTGTCATACCAGCCGTCCCAGTGCCCACGTACCCCATTGCCCATGCCATGGCGCTCACGCCCAGCCCATAGTCGCATGGCCCCATGCCCTCATGCCCTCGTGATCCCATGCGCCCCCATACCTGCATGTCCACATGCCCGCATGCCCCTCCACATGACCCTCACTGTGCGCAGATTCTTCTGTGCGCTGCCGCCGTCGTTGCGCGGCAAGTGGGCTGCCAAGTCAGCAGAGCTGCTCGCACCACAGGGGGTGTTCTACACGCTCATGTACCCCGTGCGTATCCTGCACCCTCTCATGCTTTGTGTGCGTGGCAATGCACCTTCTTATGTTCATGCGCGCCTCTCGTGTTACCCATACACATACACCCTTTTTTCCGTGTTCCGGATGTGCAAACCCTTCCCAATGCTCCTCCTGCTGCTCTCTTCTCACGGCGCACGGCTGTCTGTCTGTCTGCCCCCATGCATCGCTGTGTGCACTTTTCCTGCAGCTCGACGATCACGAGGGCGGCCCACCTTATGCTGTCTCCAAGGACAGGTGCATCCCCCTTGCACCCCCTCCCGCCTGCCCTCCATCTCCCTTCTGTCCCCCCTGTCCCCCCTGTCCCCTCTATCCACCCTAACCCCCTGCCCCACCTCGTCGTATGCGCTGTTCGCCCACGTCCTACCTTGTCCTGACCCTCTGCCCCACACACCCTTTGCTGTGTACTCATCATCTGTTTCTCCTCATCTCTTCCTACCCCACCCATCCATACCCTCCACGCCTCGCTCCTCGCTCACACACCTGCCAAACTCCCCACCGCCACCGACTCCTCATGCTGCCACTGCCCTCGTCCCCCTGCCCGCCCCACGAGCGGCCCGAGCAGCTATGCGGAGGTGCTGGAGCCGCTGGGTTTCATGGCAGAGGATCTGCCGACAGTCAGTGTGCCGCCCAGAAAGGTGCGCCCGGTGGGCTGCACGTGCAACAGGGCATGGGTCACCAAGGCACGGGTCACCAGTGCTGTGCCTGTCAGCAGCGCTGTGCTTGTTGCTCACTCCCTCTTTGGCTCATTGCATGTGCGGCCACTCACCTGCCTGTGCCTGTGTTGTTGTGCTCTGCTCATGCATGCGAGTATGTGTGAGCATGCGTGTGTGTGTGGGTGCGGGTGTGGGTGAGTGAGGGCATGGGTGTGGGTATGAGTGTGCGTGGGTGTGTGGGTGGGTGCGTGGGTGCGTGAGAGGGTGAGCAGGGCAAGGAGCAGCTGGCCAAGTGGGTGCGAGTGTCTGCAGCATCCAAGGTGTGACGCACTTGGAACTGCTGCAATGGGCACCGCGAGCAGCACGGTGCACTTTAAGAAACGAAGCTCCATGCATACCGTGTGAACGGATCAACGCCGGACTGTTCTGTAGTTACGGTAGATCTGCTGCTGGTGTTCGTTGCCTTGCCTTTGTTGACTTGGGTGGTGTGTGCCAGTGAATATATTCGGAGCGGTAGGTACTAGCAGAGTGGCAGAGTGGCCTATAAGGAGGCTAGTGCCACGGATGCAATGCAACCTTATTTTTGTAATTGGTGTGCCAGTTTATTACAACAGTATGGTGCCTTCAATCTAGTCTCCATAAAGAGAAAGGTGTCCCCTCCACCCACCCCATCCTATCCCATCCACAACAACAATCCAACTGCGGAGATAACTTTAGCAACAGGAGCTAGACTACGGGCTACGCACGGGTGCTCGTGTGATCTCTGCGTTCGTTCACTTCGTCGTTTACTCATCTTCGCACTACTTGCTAGTTCATGGGGGAATTTGGCAAGAGTTCCACTAGCAAAAGTTCACATCAATGATAGCAACAACACTAGCATGCAAGACTACATTAGACCTAGCAAAGCTGCTGGTCGACCTCCAGCGCAGCACGGTCGACCGTGTGCCAGCACTGCTTGGTCGACCGCGCTCCAGCAGAGCAAAGTTGCGGCTTGCCAACGTTGCAAGTCCACGGTGTGCCAACACTGCAGCAAGTCGGCTGCACAGCGTTGCACCCGCAGGACAACGGTGCACCTGCTTCGCAGGTGCGCGCAGCTGGTTGGTGCTCCACGTCTTGTCACGAGCACAGCGCAGACGCCGAGCTCGACTCTACACCAGCGATTGCGCCCACCAGCCACGTCGACCTCGGGATACCACAATGGAGATCGACTTCGCAGAAGCCACCACGCCGACCCCTCGCACACGTCGCCTGGGTATCCCAATCGACCGGGCAACCACGCTTGGTCGACCAGATCGGTCGGCCGCCGGCTGCACAAGCCCGGCGCCCTCCTGCTCAACGCCTAGCTGCTCGGCACCTTACTCCTCGATGCCCTCCAGCTCAGCGTCCCTAATCTCCCTTGTCGAGGTCGACGCCGGCTCCTCCTTCGTCGACCACCAGGTTCAGTCGGCCACCAGGTCGACAACACTCCTGGTCGACCAACTTCACGTTGACCAGCACAGTTGTCAGCCGACCACCCAAGTCGGCTTCTCCAGGTCGGCGTCAGAGCAGTGCCCCCCCCGCAGGTCGACCACCTCGTCGACCAGCTCGCCCACTACTGCAGGTCGGCTGCACTCCCCCATACACCTGACCATAAGGTCGGTTCAGCCCAAGCGAGGACGGGGCCACACCCAACTCCCGTTGACACCAACTGCATTTGTAGTTGTGACACTGCAGCCCTCATACCATAACCTCGTTCTTTTCCAACAGTCTGTTGGTACTTAAACTTGCAACACCACATTTGATTCCGATCTAGACCAGGGTGTTTACTGCTGTTAGGAGTGGTGTAGCATGTGGAAGAATGTTGAGATGGTAGTTAGAACTTAGGAGCCATACAAACCCTAAGAGCGAAGTATATAAACGAGAGAAGCGATACTAATGAGGGTTGGCCAAAGACAGGGGTCAAATAATGAGAAGTACAAGAAGGTGGCAAGAGGGATATAACACAGCAGATAGAAAACTAACATGATACTACACTAACTATACTGCATGCACTAATATATAGAAATGCCGTATAAATTCCAGCATCCCCCTTATCTGCATGCAAGGCTCCGTGTAGCTAGTAAGGGGCAGTTCCAACACCCAAACTGCTGCATTTTCCGAGCAGCAACTTGCCCCACCGTTTTGAACCCCACGGCAGGTGCCAAATAGCGGTTGAACCCCCGAAGCAGGTGTCCCCCCTCCTCCTGCGCCTCCTCCTCGCCCTCCTCGATTTCCTCTTCCCGCTGCTTCATTCCCCTCTCCTCGTCCTCCTCTTTCGCTCTACCCCCCATGTGCCCTCCGACCTTTAAGCTCAAACCCCATCCTCCTCACTGCGTGCACCATTCAGCAGATGGTCTCCCCGTGGGAAGACATGCCGCAAGATGCTGCCACGTGGGAGAGGAGATGGAGAGCAATGGAGGGAGAGGGGAGGGAGGACATGAGGGAGATGAGAAGGGAGGAGAGGAGATAGAGGGGGAGGAAGAAGAGGAGGCAGAGGGAAGGGAGAAGAGGGGGGAGCATGGAGGAAGGTTGAAAGACAAAGGGAGTGAGATGGAGAGGAAGGTGAAGAGGGAAGGGGGGGAGGAGGGAAGGGGAAGATGTAGAGACAATGAAAGGGTGAGCTGAGGGGATAAGTAAAAAGGCGGGCCGGAGGGAGTGGCTCGGCCCTAAAGAGTGATAAAGGCGAGAGCATGTGGCATGGCGTGGCGTGGCGTGGCCTATTGTGGCGTGGAGCATCGTGTGCACTCACCTCCATCTCCATCATCGCATATGCGGGTGATCTATCCTCCATGCGCGCACGCTTGCCTGCTCCCTCAGCCCGAGATAGCACCGCTCTTGCGAGCCTTTCGTTGTGAAGCACGGTGGTTAGTACAGACATGGCATCCACCTTCCGCGTAATCCACTCCTCCAACTCGCCCTCTCGCCCTCCTTCACCACTCCGTACAACTCCTCTTCTCGCCGCCTTGCCTCCGCCAAAGCCTTTGTAGCTTTCTTCAGTTCGTCATTGCACTCCCTCTCATTCTCGACAACATTCCCCGTGCTCATATTGGTCTCCATCCGATAGTGCCAGTTGGTCGCGGTGTCGATGATGGCCTACACTCGGATTGGTGTAACCACACGCAGATCAGCCACCTGGGAGCGACCGCCGGCTCTCGGCAGACGGGCCAAAGTAACTCGGCAACGGAGGGTCAATTGTAACAACCACGACCCTTATAACAACGAGCAACCGTGTGTTAATGAGGAATCCTCAAAATTATATATATAATCAAAGTTACAAGGCTTTGAAATATCTAGCTAATCCCACCAAGGGATAAACAAGCTTTAGGCTAAGCTTGAAGAATCTTAAGAGGAAAAGTTGTAGATGTTGGTGAAGCCTTAACTAGTAGATAGCTTATTGTAGAACTTACCCTTAAAGAATCACAACTCTAGTTGTGTAGGAGAACTTGTTAGAGAGAAAGCCAGGACTTAGAGAAATCCCATTTCCAAGTTTGATTGCCGGAGTTGGGAAGTGGGAATGAGCTTGAAAACTCCAACCCCTTTCCACAATACCCCTTGGGGCTCTTCCCAACCATGGCTTCTATGGTTGGGGAGCTAATAGGCTTGGAGACTAGGTGGCGACTTTGTTTGGTTGAGAAAACCCGACTTGATAGATTTGTATGATTGTTTTGTTGTTTGGTTGGATTGTAACAACAACTGGCACAATGTGATTGGTTGGAAATCCAACCATTCAATCCTGACTTTGAAAGGCTGGAATGTTTCCAAGCCTCAAGGTTGAGGGTTGGAAAGCCAAACCAACTTTTTTCTCCAACCCATCTTTTCCATCTATTGTAGTTCAATGTTTTGTCGAGAGGCTTATCGACATTGACTACGAGAGTCTTGTTAGGTGCCTAGGTATGTCGGGCGTTACACTCCTCCTACCTCAGGCGGCAACGTCCTCGTTGCCTTGAGATGCTTCTGAGGACGAGCGCTTCAAGCACGCCGTGTCACATTATGACCAAGGTCAACACCAACCACTGGTTGTGCGGTAGCTCGTCGAGCCAGATCTGCCATGTATGACTGAACTGCACTTTCGGTCAAATGCTCTTCTGGATCCCATGAGTTGTGTTTAGGCCCATAGCCTTTCCACTTGATGAGGAACTCTCGTACTGTCTTGCAGCCGCATTGTCGATCGCGATCCATCGACACTCGTTCCACTTCATAGAACAGTTCCTCCCCCATGACGATCGTTGGTGGTGGCAAGTACTTGCCCTCTGCAACGTACTTGTTCAAAAGAGACACATGGAAGACGTCGGGAATCTGTAGTGTATAGGTAGCTTAAGCTTGTATGCGACCACACCAACACGCTTGATCACATCGAATAGCCCAATCCATCAAGGGAACAACTTTCGTGCTCCAGGGATTTTGAGACGAATGTTCTTCGTGCTCAACAAAACTTAGTCTCCGACCTCAAATGAGACTTCCCAGCGTTTCATGTCGGCGTAAGACTCTTTTCGTTGCTGAGAGAGTTGCAGCCAATGGTGAGTAGACATCAGCGCTTCTTGCTGCTTGCCAACAAAGTCTTTATCAACTAGAATTTTCAATCCACCGATCCGGTGCGTAGCGGGTGTTGTGGGATGCCGACCATAGTTCAAAATGAAAGGATTCTGATGTGTATCCTTGTGAACTGAATAGTTCACTATGAACTCAACGACAAGTAATAACTCGTCCCAATCATCCTGGGTTGGGCCAATGATTGAACGAAGCATCTGCTCAAGTGTCCGAATTGTTTGTTCCGTCTGCCCATCTGTTTGTGGGTGGAACGCAGAGGACATCTTAAGCGTTGTTCCTAGTGTCCGTGTAACCTCTTGCCATAAGCGCTTGTGAAGCGCAGATCTCGGTCGGACACCAAGAGACGTGGTAACCTGTGTAAGCGGAAAACGTGTGCCACAAACAACTTAGCGTATCTCCTACAGTTATGTCAGTTGTCATAGCCACAAAATGCACCATTTTTATCAGAGGATCCACAAACACTAGGATCGCTGTATGGCCATCGCGAATCTTGGAAAGATCCGTGATAAAATCCAAGGATTCGCTTTCTCAAGGTTCGTTCGGGATTTCTAGTGGTTGAAGCAGACCACCAGGCTTCTTTGTGTCCGTTTTATTTCATGCGCATTCATCGCAACGCGCCACGAATTGATGGACCTGAGTGCTCAATCCCAGCCACCAGTACACATCACTCAATGCCCACCTGGTCTTCTTGACCCCTAGGTGTCCTTCGTACTTAGTGGCACGCACTTCTTTCAGAATGTCATTCCGAAGATTACCCACG